GGTACATAACTTATATTATAACTCTAACAAGGATCACTAACAATCCCACCCTCCTTAGAAACGGCTTGCCCCCAAGCCGGTGCTCACGGAAACTTTTGCTGCAAAGTCACCTTGTCTTCCCAGGTAGCCATCTCGGCAGGAGTTGTATTCCATTTAACCAGTACTTGGACAAGAGACCCAGACCCTCGGCAAACCACTTTTTGATCCAAAATCTGCTCAGGGACTTGGAATTGATCATCAGGAGTAGGTAAATGAGGCAATACCTGGTGTTTTGGGTGTAACACCTTGCGAAGAAGCGACACATGAAACACTGGGTGTACTTTACTGCTTCCTGGCAATTCAAGCCGATAAGCTACTGCGCCAATGCGTTCCAAAATTTCAAATGGTCCATAAAACTTGAACACCAGCTTATGGTTGGCCCGAGGAGCAACGGACGACTGCAAGTAAAGTTGAAGCTTCAGGAACACACGCTCACCCACTACAAATTCACGATCACTCCGATGTTTGTCCGCTTGTGTTTTCATACGCTGTTGTGCTCACAGCAAATGCTGTCATACTGACTCCAAAATGGTTTGACAGTGTGCAACCCACTGATGTAAATCTTCAAACTAAATTGCATCTTCCGCAGCCAACCCAAACTGCCGCGGTGCATGACCATAGATGATTTCAAATGGAGTTTTCCCAGTAGCGGAGTGCCCGTTAGTGTTATATCAAAACTCACATAGAGGAATCCATTTGGCCCACCGAGAGGGATGAGCACTGACGAAGCACCGAAGAAAGCATTCGACCTGCTGATTAACTCATTTTGTCTGTCCGTCAGACTGTGGATGACGAGTTGTACTCATTCTGAGAAGAACACCACATTTTTGGAACAGCTCCTTCCAAAACTTGCTGGTAAACACTTGATCCCGATCAGAAACGATCGATAGAGGCATGCCATGTAACCTATAAATTGTATTCAGAAACGCTTCAGCCACAGTTTCTGCAGTAAACGGATGGTGCAGTGGAACAAAGTGACCATACTTTGACAGTTTATCGATAACCACCAGCAGATAATTGTAACGACCGGATGTTGGCAATCCCTCGACAAAGTCCATTGTGACCATCTCCCAAGGTGTGTTTGGAACAGGCAGAGGCTGCAGTAAACCTGGGCAGGGCACTCGCTCGGGCTTCGCTTGCTGACATACTAAGCAGTGTTGTACATATTTTTTCACAAAACCCCTCATACCTTTCCAATGAAACAGCTAATGAATTCTTTTGTAAGTTACTGGAAATCCAGAGTGTCCCCCAATAGGACTGTCATGAAATGCAGCAACAATCTTGGTTTGCAGTTCAGGGCAGTGGCCCACCCAAACACATTTGCCTATCTTGAGGATCCCAGCCCAAAGAGAAAACTTGTCATCAGACTTGAGAGCAGCAGCTAACTTTTGCAACAATTCAGATGCAAACGGATCAGCTTGATAACTATGCCCAATCTCTTGTAACCATGCAGGTTGAACAGAGGTGACAATATGTAACTCAGGCAGTACATCAGAATCAACATGTGGCCTTCTAGACAGAGAGTCAGCTGCACTATTTTCAGTGCCTTTCTTGTAAGCAATGGTATACTACAAACCCAGTAACTTTGTAAGTGCTTTCTGCTGCCATTTAGTGTGTAATCTTTGCTCGGTTAGACTGGCCAAGCTGTGTTGATTAGTCCGGATAATAAACTCAGAAACCTGAAGATATTGGCTCCACTGCTCAACTGCCAACAGGATAGCCAAATACTCTTTCTCATAAACTGAAAGTGTTTGGTTTCTAGGCCCCAGTGCTTTGCTGACATAAGCCAGAGGGTGACCATCCTGCATAAGCACAGCACCCACGCCAACAACACAAGCATCTATTTCCACAACAAAAGTCTTGGAGAAATCAGGAAGAGCCAAAACTGGAGCTGATATTAGATCCTGTTTTAACAAAACAAAAGCTTGTTGCTCTACATCTGTCCAATGATATGGCACACCTTTCTTCAAAAGATTAGATAGTGGCTTGCTCAACATTCCATAATGCGAGATGAATTTTCTATAGTACCCAGCTAGCCCCAAAAATCCCCTGACTTCCTTAGCAGAAACTGGAACTGGCCATTCTTGAATAGTAGAGATCTTGGCAGGATCTGTAGCTACTCCTTCTCCACTAATAACATGCCCCAGATAACTGATTTTTGTCTGAGCAAAAGCACATTTGGAGAGTTTAACATACCACTTATGCTGCTCCAATAAGGACAACACTTGAGCTAGATGTTCCAGATGTTGGGCATAAGTTTTGTTGAATATGAGAATACCATCAAAGAAAACTACTGCACACTCTCTCAACACAGGTGACAGTGTGTCACACATTGCAAAGTTGAAAGTATTGGGCCCTCCAGTCAGACCCATAGAAACCACCAAGAATTCATAATGACCACTGTGTGTCTGAAAAGCAGTTTTATATTCTTCTCCAGGGGCCAATCTTATCTGGTGATGCCCAGCCCTCAAATCCAACTTAGAGAACCAACAAGATCCTGCCAACTCATCCAAAAACTCATCAATGATTGGAATGGGAAATTTACTCTTAACTGTCAAGGTATTTAGATGTCTGTAGTCAATGACATGCCTCCAAGTTTTGTCCTTCTTTTGTACCAAAATCATAGGAGAAGAAAATGGATTGTTGCTGTGTCTGATAATACCAGAGGTCAGCATCTCCTGAACCTGCTTTTCCAGTTCATCCATAAGCACAGTAACCGGCCTGTAGGGTCTGATAGAAAATGGTTGAGCCCCAGGAATTAAGGGAATGGTATGGTCATACTTTCTCCTTGGAGGTAATCCTTTTGGTACCTGAAAAACTGAACTGAATTTTGACAACACGTGTTGAATTTCTGCAGGTAACTCAGATGGAGCTGTCTCAGTGCCAATGAGCAGTGCAGATAACTCAATCAAAGCAAAAACCTGAGGAGCTGCATCCTGTCCAAACAGTGTCACCAGTTCACCATGCAGTTGAAAAGAAAGCCAATGTTCAACCCAGTCCACCTGCATAGGGCTATGACCTCCTAACCAATCCAGGCCCAGTATCCCATCATAAGAGCCAAGAGGAAAAACTTTAAAATCACTTACAAATTCATGTCCTGCACAATACCATTGCCCTTTTTGTAGTTGTTGACTAGAGGGCACCAGTGATCCATTAGCCACCTTGACCATGGATACAGTCATAGGAACAACACCTTGCAATTTACTGGCCACAGTACAATCCACAAATGAATGTGTACTGCCCGAATCCACCAAAAATATCATTGGCTGACCCTGTAATTGCACTTTCAGTTTCATAGTTGTAATTGTAGGTGCAGAATTTTCCCCTAAAGCAGCAGCAGACAGGAAAATTGCATTGGCCTCACGAACAACTTCCTCTTCAGACTCACTGACATCAAATGGCATACTCTAAACATAATCAAGCATCTCCTGCACAACATGTAGCTACACTTCATGCTTGCAATGATGATCGCAAGCCCATCATTCTCCACAGATGAAACAAAGCCCTTTGGACTTGCGGTAAGCTCTAAGCGAAGCCCAACGGTCATCTTCAACTGTTGTTGATCGACTGGTGTCAGGTAGCTTCTTTTCATCAGTGATTCGAGCTACAGTTGGACGAATTGCTGTTGGAGCCATGGAACGCTTACTGCTGGCTGTACTGCTTCCTGTGAACATAGATTGATCACCCAGTTCTTCCGACAAAAGCGCCAGTGCATAAGCAGAGTCCAAATCGACTGGCTGCTGAATCCCAACCAACAGACGCACTGACGGTACCAGCCCTTCCATAAAACGAGTGACATAATGCACATCACTCGGGTTAGATTCATATGCGCAGTCAACTGATCATACAGTTCTGAGAAACGCTCAACATAATCCTCCACTGTACTCGTCTGTCGGATATGAAACATCTGACGGACGAGGTTCTGGTGCTTATTGCGTCCAAAATGAGACTGTAACAACCCACAAAATTCAGACCAATTAACATTAGGTGCACGACGTTGGACTGACTCTAACCAACGAGCTGTGGTTCCCTCAAATTGCGACGAAGCAAAGGAAATCCACTGGTGCTAAGGAGTATTCCAAAACCGAAAGTAATCCTCACAATGAGATTGCCACAGTTTTGGATTCGAACCATCAAATCGCGGAAGTTCAATTCTAGGACCAAAATTCACCGCATCCGGAAGGAAGGCCCGAAAATTTTCAGCAGCAAGAATCAACTGGCGCGACTGAGCTGGATCTGTGTGCATACCTCGAACTGGTGGAGGAACGTAATGGGGGCCCGAACTCCTCTGCTCCAGATCAGCTCGGACTCCGTCGGATCCATGCGAACCACCGCTCGCTGGCGCTGGCGGATGTACTTGACTAGGCTCCCTTGACGAAACGGGCGTCGATGTCGTCGGGGTGGATCCTCGATCGACACCAATTTCACCGTGCAACTCGTCGAGGTCGACGCCGATGGCGAGCTTCATGTCGTCGATACGACCAGACAGCTGATCCAGTTTACTGTCCAGCTTGGCGAAGGCGGTGACCACCTCCTTGCTGCGCTCCGTCGAGGCCTTGGCGAGGGCGGCATCAAAATCTGCACGCAGGAACTCGTAGATCGCGCGGGTCTCCGGGGAAATTTTCTCCATGGCCTTTGCCCGACGGCGTGCGGCGAGACGGGTGTGGCGAGGAAGGGTGGGCGGCTCCAGGATTGAACGACTTTGATACCAGATTGTGAGGTCTAGGGTTTATATTCCACCATCGCCATGGATTCAAGCTACAAGGAGGGATTACAAGAGGATCGCTCACGCAGGAGCACACATCACACGCCACACTAGCCGTTATTCGTTCGCCTCCTTCATCCGCCATGAAGCCGGGTATATGTAGCAAAGCGTTCTAGGCCCATTCAGGCCCAGCTAGCCGAGCCGGCAGGCGAGGCTGCCTCCTGGGCCTGGTCATCTCTTCCGCTAGCTTCTGGCCCACTTCGGGATCGCTGACAGCCTGAACCAGCTAACCCAGCAGTGTGTCACCTACGTGAACAAAATCGCCCAGCAACACATCGGTAAGCGAGCAGTGATCACCCCATCCTTGCAATTTCATCTCCCGAATATATTCATGTGTGGTTAGCAAACCAGATTCAGCAATGTCCTGTTAGTGTTGTCACATCGCGCTCTAACTGAGCCCTGAGCTCTTTGACGACAGGGGAGCGGGTGATCGTGGTCTCTCACGGCGCGGCGATAGTGGAGCTCTGCCGGCACACCGATCCCCCCGGCAGCTCGGTTCACCGGAACTTCCCCAACACCTCGCTCAACGTCTTCCATGTCTCGGGTGTCACCAGGCAGTGGGCCCTAGCGAGGTTCAGCGACGTCGGCCACCTCGATGGAAAGGGCGCTCTCGAGGATGCCTTCGACGGCAACGGGGTGTCTGCCTAAAGAAACATGCATTTTTTTCAAAAGGAGGAAGACCCCGGCCTCTACATCTGAATGATGCATGCAGTCACTTTATTAATTAATCATACAAGACTTTATAAAGAAATATAACAGTAAGTCTGAATCCACCGTATAGGCAACATCTATCGCTACTCCTATATTCAATTAATGAAGGGATGCTGATAGTCCGGGCTTAATACCACAGACCTCGCAGTCAAGCTTAACATCTAACACCCGAGGCCCCAACCAAGCCATTTGTTGGGTATGGGGCACACACCGGTCCGGCGCGCTCTCAGAGATCGCGGCCGCCAACTGCCACCACTCCAACTTCAGAGCTGTACCGACACATCATCCTTGCCCGGTCTAGCTGTGGTCGATGCCACCACGGCGCCCAACGCCACCACCTCCCTGCGAACGAACTGCTGAGCACGTCGCGGTCATCGCCGGTACACCTCGGCATCATGCCGCCAAGTACCACCAGCTGACACAGCTTGAAGTATCTGAAAGATCTGTCGTGCGTAGCACCTGCCGACCAGGCATGACAAAGCGTAGCACTTGTCGGCCAGGCATGACTTGACATCTCCACCGAAGCTCCGTGCAAGATGAAGCTGCTTCACCTCCTACCTTTGACTTCCAGCACTGCTCCACAAACGATGCTCCCAAGAGAGGAACGATGCCGCAGTGCCGCCATCATCCGATCAGGAAAAACATATCCTAGGGTTTTCCCCGGATCAGCACGGGTGGGTCGACAGTAGTTACACGATGATGCCTTCATCAAGGTAACAACGCAGAACGCCGCCATCGCCTGTCGTCGGCTCGGTTTTCACCGGCAACTCTTTCTCCCCAACTCACAGCCGGGACTAGATGTTGGATCTCGAGATCTGACCACCCCGCCTCTGGCCGGCCACCTTCCACGAAGAAGAAGATCACCACCACCGGCTGCACCATCCAGATTAGATCAGACCGGAGGTGCCGCCAAGCAGTCCACCAGGCCCTCGACGTCGCTGCCGATCCAAAGCCAGATGATGCGCCGCCTCAACATAAACCGCCCGCCGCGAGGCAGGAGTGGCCTTCGGCGCCATCGCCGCAGCCATCGGCGCCACTTCGCTAGATCGATCACGCCTCCACGCGCATAGGGGGCCCGCACCGCCCCTGAGACACAGGAGCGAGGAGAACCCCCGCCACCGCTGTCGGCCACCGGGCGCCGACCAGTGGTGTCCTCCGGCGGCGGTGGGAGGAAGGGAGGGATGAGAGTCGGCCCCGGCGGCGTCTAGGGTTGGAGAACCACCCGTGTTGCCCGAACGGGGGACGACGCGGGGGTCAGGAGCCTTTCACCATTGGCCTTCTCCGACCTTCCCCTGTGCTGTTGCAAGAACGAAAGAGCCTTATGGCAATAGCATTCTTTTTTGTTCCTTTTATCGACATATTCGGTGATTCAAACCTGCAAATGTTTACTCATGAAATCGAAGCACTATACTGCCGCTGCAAAAGAGACACAAAATTTTACCCGTTGATTTTCTAGCCGCGTTCTTCTTTTCTTCTTCCTTGTAGTACACGAATGATCGTATCACTCCGACCTTGCCGCAGAAATATTTTTAGTTGGCTGGTCTTTTGCAAGGATCGGCCGGGACCCAAGCCGTTGGATCGGATAATCGAGTGGTCAATGTTGTGGCTCTCCTTGCAACATGGCCAATGTTGCGCTTGGGAGACTGCAACATGGGACATTGCAAATAATGTTTGCAACGTGACACATGTTACGCTTGTGAATAAAAGATATATTGCAACTTAATCCATGTTGTGCTTGGAGATTTGCAACATGACCCATGTTACATTGATGGTGACCGCCTTGTAGCTTGTCTACAACACCAAGCTTTAGCCTCACGTCGTTGGTGTTCCTGAATTGGCCGCGCATGTCATCTCTCTTCTTCCTCCGTCATGTCGCTATCCGGCTTGTGTGGTTTCTCCTGGCTCCAAACATCGGTCAGAGGCATGATATGTTCCAATAGTCATATTGGGCCGCAATATGCTAGGTGGTCTTCCTGCAGCTGAGCATATTGAATTCATGCTCCAGCCAGTTACTCCAAAAGTCGAAGCTGATGAAGAGAGACATGCAATATATTTCAACACTCTTTCTAATGTCTAGGCTTATTTAGTCCCTAGACGGTGGATCAATGTAGACCATGGAATCATTTAATACTGCTTTGGCAAGGTCTTGAACTCAAGACCTCTTGGTTCTAATATCATATTCGTGCTCCAACTAGTTACTCCAAAAGTCCAAACTGATGAAGAGAGGCCGACAATATATTTCAACAGAGCACTTGCCACCTTTAAGATGGAGAGAGCCCATACAATGCCTTCGGTTCTGCAACCTCCTATCATGCAACAACCAAGGGGCATTTGCCTGATTGGACTGATCATATGAATGACCATTTGAAGGACATACCATTTGGTGAATTGACGCATAGTTTGTTTGCCTAAGGATTGTGGTGGCCTTGGGGGTGCTTGACCTCTAGACCTTGAATCATATTTTGCTTTTCAAGTGGCTCTGGAAACTTGATAATACTAAAGGTGTGTAACAAAAATTGTTCATAGATAAGTATCTTCATTCTCAAACCTTGTCAAGCATGGGACCTGGGTCTAGTGGCTATCATTCTGGCGGGGTCTAATGAAATTCAATAATGTGTATTTTCCAATAGTTTGTTGCGAGGTTTCTAGGCAAAAAAAATTGGGAGGGTGTTTAGATTGGCGATTCCTCTTTGGCTAACAAGCTCCCCATGTTTGTGAAAGTGCTAGTGATCGACTAGAGGGGGGTGAATAGGCGATTTTTATGGAAGTCTTCAAAACATGGAAGTTTCGAAGACAAACGATAGAAATAAACCTATTACCATACGGCGGAAGGTAGACTACACTAGCCAAACCATAGTCAAGTATTCAATGAAGTGAAAGCATAATGACTAATAGCAGCTAGGCAGTAAAGATCAGGTAGGAAGATATTGTGAAGCCAATCAGAACAAGTAGTCACTCAGTGAAGACAAAAGATAATGCAATCATACAATGACTTCACAAGAACCAACAGTAAGCAAAGGGAAGGGAAGGATGAAACCAGTGACTCGTTGAAGACAATGATTTGTTGGACCAGTTCCAATTGCTGTGACAACTGTACGTCTGGTTAGGGAGGCTGAGAGTCAACTCAGAAGACCTCGTCTTCACCTTATTCCCCTTGAGCTAACGACACCCAGTCCTCGCCCAATCACTCTGGTAAGTCTTCAAGGTAGACTTCCAAACTTTCACAGACTTTGTTCACCGGCGATCCACAATGACTCTTGGATGCTCAGAACGCGACGCCTAACCGGCTGGAGGATTCACAGTCCTCAAGTGTAATAAGTCTTCAGATCACACAGACAGGAAGACTTAAGTGATGCCTAACACTCTTTGCCTCTAGGTGTTTAGGGCTTTATCCTCGCAAGGAATTCTCTCTCAAAGGCTTCGAGGTGGGTTGCTCTCAAACGACAAAAGCCGTACTCTAACTCTGAGCAGCCAACCGTTTATGGTTGTAGGGGGTGGGCTATTTATAGCCACTAGGCAACCCGACCTGATTTGTCCGAAATGACCCTGGGTCACTAAGGAACTGACACGTGTTCCAGCGGTCAGATTTCAAACACACACGGCAACTTTACTTGGGCTACAAGCAAGCTGACTTATCCAACTCTGGACAAGATTTGCTCTCATAGTCTTCACTCGAAGACATAGTGTAAGTGCATCTAGTGCCACCCCTAGTTGGTTTTGGAGTATTGACGACAAACCTAGTTGAGGGACTAATGTGTTTGTGAGAATTGCAGGATAACACAGGTAGAAGTCCGTCATTGATTCGATTTTCCTACCAGAGATGACCCCTAAAAATGTATGAAGACATTGATGTCAAAGGTGGTATATGAAGATATTCACATTGAAGACTATGACAAGAGAAGACATTGCATGAAGCCTATGGAGCTCGAAGACTTAGGTCTTTCGTAGTTCTTTTTCTTCTTTGTTGAGTCATAGGAACCACCGTACTGTTAAGTGGGGTCCAAGAGAACCAGTCAGAATGACTGAAGTGATGCTTAACCAAAACCTATGTCTTCGAGTGAAGACTATGAGAGCGAATCTTGTCCAGAGCCGGACAAGTCAGCTTTGCTTGGAGCCCAAGTAAAGTTGCCGTGTGTGTTTGAAATCTGACCGTTGGAACACGTGTTAGTTCCTTAGTGACCTAGGGTCATTTTGGACAAATCAGGTCAGGTTGCCCAGTGGCTATAAATAGCCCACCCCCTACAACCATAAACAGTTGGCTGCTTAGAGTTAGAGTACGACTTTTGTCGTTTGAGAGCAACCCACCTCGAAGCCTTTGAGAGAGAATTCCTTGCGAGGATAAAGCCCTAACCACCCAGAGCCAAAGAGTGTTAGGCATCACTTAAGTCTTCTTGTCTGTGTGATCTGAAGACTTATTACACTTGAGGACTGTGAATCCTCCACCCGGTTAGGTGTCGCTTTCTGAGCATCCAAGAGACATTGTGGATCGCCGGTGAACGAAGGCTGTGAAGGTTTGGGAGTCTACCTTGAAGACTTACCAGAGTGATTGGGCGAGGTCTGTGTGACCTTAGCTCAAGGGGAATACGGTGAGGACTGGGTGTCCTGAGCTGCGTGTTCAGGACTGGGTGTCTGGGACTGTGTGTCCTCAGGTTTAAATACCTAGCCGCCCTAACCAGACGTACAGTTGTCACAGCAACTGGAACTGGTCCAACAAATCATTGTCTTCAACGAGTCACTGGTTTCATCCTTCCCTTCCCTTCACTTACTTTTGGTCCTGGTAAAGTCATTGTATGATTGCACTATCTTTTGTCTTCACTGAGTGACTGCGTGTTCTGTTTGGCTTCATAATATCTTCCTACCCGATCCTTACTACATTGCTGCTATTAATCATTGTGCTTTCACTTCATTGAATACTTGACTATGGTTTGCCTAGTGTA